TGACTAAATATTAAAGGAAATTAAAATTAGATTATATATTTGAATTGTCTAAACCAATGTAAAACTAAGGAACAAATATTTAATATTATTGTCATTCTTAGTGTTGAATTGATTTTCTTTTTGCATTAGTATTAATTTGATTTTGATTTAAGCTTTATTATAATTACCAACATCTGTGGACTATAATCTTTATTGAACCATTCAGAATTCTAAGTTTCAAACTTGAAATAATATATTAAAAGATAAAAACTATGATAAAGTATAAGAAATATTTTAAAATTATATCAAAGAAAATATTTTTATGTATAAAATAAAATTTTGAAATTATATATATAATGTCGGGTTGGTTTAATCTCAGGTTGTTTTTTTAGTTAAAACCAAACCAATCCAAATATAATCGGGTTATTTTTTCCAATACCAAACCAAGTCAAACCAACCACTAGTCGGATTATTTTTTTTCGATTTGACTCGATTTGCGGTTTGGTTCGATTTTATACACCCCTATAGTTTACTATATTTATACATAATTTGATGAAGTTTCCATCCACTTAATAAAAATGTTCATGCACCAAATCTTTTTTTTATGTGTTAGTACTTAAATGGGGGGGGGGGGGGGGGGAGGGGAAACTAAAAGGACCATGTCATATATAAATTTTGGATATATTATATGGTTTTAAGGATTTTTTATAATTATTTTCTATGAATTTTCGATCTGGTTTGATTGCACATTTGATGGTCTTATATGGTCTTATCAATTGTATATGAAATATATATGCTTTATTATGATTAGATATCAATCAATTGAATTGTTGATTTACTTCAATTACGAACATAAAGGGCCAAGAATATATTTCTGACAAGACATAATTTCAGCCATAGCCAAATATAATGCATCATTAATATATCTTCTTAGTTCAATTTGTTCACAAACCCGATTGATATTACATCTTAAGTATTTAATTACGTAGAAGATCAAATTAAATATCAAACGGAATATTTGTAAAATATCTTTAATATGTTATGTTGAGTTTTATATATAGTCTTGGTGTAAATAAAAAATAGAGGCAAACGAATATTTGAAAAAAAATGATTTTTCAAAGAATTTTTATCCTTGTTAGTCGTTTGATAAAAAGGTTATTTTAGAAAGAAATTTCATATTTATCATTATCGCTTGCTTAGCTCACTATTCACTAACATGGCATCCGCTACGTTATTTGTATCCACCCTATATTTCATCGAGTACTATTTGGAAACTTATATATAACAAGAATAATCATTAATTCCGTTTTTCATTTTTGGCTTTTGATTTTTAAATTAACAAAATATGTCTGTGATAACAATAAGACCAAAATAAAATAGTGGTATTTGTGTTCCTCAACGCCAGACAAGTTAGTCCTTTGAGTACTTGGCTTTTGCACACCTTTACCGTTAATTTTTTTTTTTTTTCCAACTAATTAATTAATTAATTAATTAAAGGGAAAGGTGGGAGAGCGGCAAGTTATTATGTGGCCCCTCGACAAAATATCAGAAATGAGGGATAAATATCTTTGTCATATACAATATGAATTCCAATTTCCAAGTAATTTCTTTGCATTTCTTTTCCATTGAATTACAAGTACAACTATAATATATTTTTATATAAATAAAATTTGAAATGTTCAACTTTAAAGAATTTCGGTCTATTTTATCTATTCTCATGAATTGCATGGCAAAGCTACGATCCAATCATCCAAACGTTTTCTTCGAAAAAATTATACTCTTATATATAGGGAAGGTCAAATTTAGATTTTCTGTATATATTAAATTTTCCTAACTTTTATATATTTGACTAGTGTTTTTTATATATTTTAAATCACTTGGTGAATACATTTTTATTCGGTAACAGCTTAATTATTTAATTAGCTATGTGATAAAACTAATGATAATGAATAAATATTCATCATTTACAATCATTTCACTTTGACATTACTAGTTGTAAGAGAGTTTCGGCGTATCACCATTCGTCTAGGCTTTTCCTTGAAAATAATTTCATTTTGAATATAAGTACTATTTTTCATACTTTTGACGAAAGACTTTGTTTCCTTGAACAATAAAGTGGTTAAATAGGAGTACTATATAAGAGAAAGACGAGGAGAGACTGGTGCAGTAAGTTGTTGCTTAGTGTAGAATTCGAGGATCATAATAGTCTATTATTATTATTATTATTATACGCAATTATATTTTATATTATCATGCACAAAAAATATGTTTCTATAGCTCGAACAATAACCTGCTAAGCACATAACATTAACTTTATTAGTTACGCTAACACTGACCTTAGTAATTGATAGAAATAATTGTGGAAGTTCTTTTTGAAATTTCTTTGAAAAGCGTTGACATGGGAACAGTATAACAACGAAAATGTCAAAGATTCATTTAACGTACGATTGGTTCAAGGGTTACCATCCCAAATTAGTGGTACAAAATTTTGATGGAAAATACAAATGGACAAATTAATAGTTAAATTTTCGTTAGGTATTGACTAGGAAACTTACTTAGTATTAATTAATCATTTAATTACTTATTCCACAAGATATTACGTAGTGTAGCTTCATTTTCATGACTCAAGCATGACCTTCATTGGATTAAATTATAACCGGACTCCAAAAGTTTATCAAAACAAGCCAAAAGGGTAAAAGTTTATCTTCAAAATGGTTATTTTTTATAATTAAGAAAAACTGCACTTTAGTGTGGAAATGACAGGTCATGGTATAGAAATTAGAATATGGTCATATTGACCTTTTTATATTCACCTTTTTAGTACTATAGTTTCTTGATGTTTTACCTAAAGACTAAAGTGAGTTTTTTTTTAGTTTTTTTATGGGAGCTTTTTCCTTGGGAATTACTTTTTTATTTTAATCTGTTTTATATCTCTTAATTTGAATTAGTACGTACAAAAGTTCCATGTAATTGCTTAGGTAACTCTACAGATTACAAGTAACATCTAGATAAAAAAAACTTATTCGTACTGAATATTTTTATCAAATCAATTGATAAATGTCATGGGTTTGTGCATATATTTTTTTTGTATATTGTATGTGTGTAACCTTACTTTTGTATTTCAAGTAGAAGATATTTATGCTGAGGGAGCTAGGTATTAAAATGTGAACTAATCTCTTTTGTCCTTTATTTTATTATTAAATATGTAAACTTAAATACAGGACTCATTTGTTGACAAAAATATTTTTTTACACTAATTAGATTGAGGTTTCTATATATCTCAGGATTAGGATATGGGTAGGAATAAGATACTTTAATGAGTATTTGGTATATTTTCATTGTCAGGTATGTCGACATGGAAGAATAATATAATTTTTAATATAGTGTTTTTAAGGAGTGATTACACCTTTACACTTGGACAAGCATGTGAAAAAAATATTGTAAATATATAATTAACAGGTCTCCGTTGTATTGAAGTGTGTAATTATCTCATTAATAAGAATTTAAGTCGTTAAAGAAAGTTTTTTTAGTTATTTAATTATATTTCAACACGATCATCTCATGTGTGTGCTTGATTTTTTATTTATGAATCAAGCTGTTAAAAATCTTTTTGCTAACGAGTGATAGTAAAATTTGATTCTATAATATTTGTCTACTTTAATATCATGTTAAAGTATATGATCACCATCTCATTTAAAAACTCAAATTTTCAGCTAAGATTACTTGAAACACTAGAGAAAGTTCGTCAGCAAAAAAATAATAGGATAAGATAGGTATGTTGACTGACTTTGGTTAGTCAGCTCTTAGTTGTAAGAACAAAGAAAGATTAGCAATTAATTACTTTTAGGTTTAACATGCTTCATTCAATTCAAATTATAATAAGCATAGATGAATAGTAAATTAAAGCCACCCAATTAAGTTTCCATAAAGTTACCTTTTTATATCATTCTTGCCGATTAAATATATCTTAGCATCTTGATCTATTTGGATTCTCTCTATGATACAAAATCTAAAAAGTGATAATAAAAATTACTCTCATGTTCACTTTAACTTATCATATTTTTCTTCTCGAAAGTCAAACTTCATAAACTTGGAAGTTTATCATCATTATCTTCCTATTAGGATTTTATTAACAAAAGTGTAGACCAAGGGCTATATTCAAAGTAGTTACCAAAAAATCTAATGGTAAACTTGATATTCTAATCAGCCTGTTTGATTTGGTTTTACTTTTGCAAAACCTCATTTCACCCCTTGACTCCACCCACACAAATATAAAAAGAGTTTAATTAAAATACACTTTAGTTTAGTTTATTAATTTTTATATATTAAGAATTAGGTTATTTTAAAGATAATTACATGTGATTTTTTCGAAGTAAGCCTGAGACTTAGGAGATGCTATTTTCCCATGTAGTTTGACTCTTCAATTGTCAGCACTGTATAAAAATTTACAAGTCTACCCATTTCGAAATAACTATAGATATGTGGTATATGAAGTTTCGTATTGCTGAATTTCAGCGACTTTTACCTAAAATTTAGGTAGAAATACTTGAATTTGAGTCATAAACCTAGCTTCAAATACTACATGTCTAAAATTATTCTAAAAGCAGTAATTTAAATGTCTAAATACACACATATCTAGGTAACATGCAAAACATGACAAGTAACTCGTTACATTTATACCTATACTGATAATTTAAATCCTTTTACATTATTAGTCAGTGCATATATATAAGTTAAACTCTAAAAGGGAAAAAACATATATTCCTATGAATGAATAATGAAATTAAGTTAAAAGTAGATTAGTGGGACATTCATTATTGTCACCAATGTCTACTTATAAAAAGGCTTCCATTAGCCTTACTTGATATTGCTCTGTGGGTCTCAAGTGTTGTGTTGCACTCAATATATATCTCTTTGTCTATCTCTAGTGCCTAGCTAGCCTGTAAAGATCATTTTATCATAAACTCTTTGCACTTTGCAATTCTTCATAACAAATTACCCCAAAAAATTGGATCTTTTTTTTGTCCATGGCAACTTTGATAGCCAATAGATTATCAGAGGAAAGAGGCAAATTGATCAAAACAACAATATTAACCATGGAGCTTCTTCTTTTATCAACAGGATTTATTTCTACTTTTTTCATGCTTAAAAAAGCTATTAGTCCTCGTTACTTATTTAACATGTTCTTTGTTAATTTAAGTGAAATCTTGAATTATTCGAAGAGTTTCTTGTCATCTCCACTTTATATTTGCCTTTTTATCAACTCTGTTGTTATACTTATTTTGACTTTTTCGAAATTTCACCATCCCACGATGGAATTTCTCAATGTTTTTCTAGATGATGAAAAGGAGAATATTAGTGATAATGATGGTATTCAGATTCAGCCACAACACGATAATATCCCGAAAAGAACTAGTTCTGTTATTGCAATGGATACTGTTATGTCGTTTTTTAGTCGTTATAATTTGGATCCTGTTGTATCAGAAGAAACTATAATTGAAGATGAAATGATCTCCTGTAGTGATGATGTGAAAGATATTGAAATTGATTGTGTAACAAAATTGTCTTTTCCTCCTGAAGCTCGTGAAATTGTTAGTGAGACAATTGCAACAAGAACTGATTACGAAGAAACGATGATGAATTATCAAGATATTGAAGAGGATGATGATGGCTCGTTGGACGCAACATGGAAGACGATCACAGGAGGGGGGAACAATACGAAAAAGAAGAAACAAGTACTGAAGAAAAGTGAGACATGGCCAATTGAGCCACAGGTGAAATCAGCACAGAGCATTGGTTCAAAGGACTTGTTGCCATCAGTAGCTGCAGCATGGAAAGACTTGAGAAAATCAGTGACATTTAACGATGCTTTATCGGTGTTTCGAAGAGGGGGTTTACGAGGGGATGTTTCTGTTAGTACAGAGGAATCCAACAAAAGATTTGATGATTTTATTAAGAAGATCAACCATGAGAGATTGCTGCAGAGGCAAGAATCCGATCAGCGTGCCTTCAAGAATAATAGGCTACATCGAGCACGTTAATTAATTGAATATATCGAGCACGTTAAAAGAGTCCAGTGCACTAAGTTCTCGCTATATTTGATGTTTAGGAAGGGATAAACCACAAAAATATATCGTACTGCATTTCTATGAGAGATTGTTTTCGACCTTCAGTAAATAATTAGCTAGAATTATTAGTAATTTACTATGATGTTGTACAGAGCAAATTAAAGTCATCATGGGAAGAGTTCTATTTTTTTCGTTTTTAACTAGTAGTATGTACAACAGTTACCTTGGTTGTATCTGTAAAGTTTATCACTTTCAGTGAGATTTTTTTTTTCTTTTTTTGCTCTAGCTACTTTGTTGTTCCGTGTATATACAAGTTCTAATTATTAGAAAACCATTAAGTAAATGATACTACAACATATACTTACTCAGCTCATATTGAGATATTTAAGTTATATATACTGATATGATAAAAATTAGTTACATAGGCTCGCAATATAATATATTTTTATACTCCAAGTTATCAATGCAACGACTTTGTATTGAAATGTCAAAGCCAATATCGAGTAGAACTTGTTTAACTACTCTCCATTAGTTCTTGACATTTTGCACCTTTAATCTATATATACATGACTAGCTCTTTTGTAATTTGCACTTTATACTTATTGAAAAAATAAATAAATTTACTACCTAATGTATTTCTCTTATTTCGTTACAAAATCATAAGAAGGCCTATTTACTTGCTACTTGTGAGTTGTGAAGCTAGGCTAGGAAAAATACAAATATTTATTATTAAATAGAAAAAGAAAACATGGTGTAAAGGGGAGATAAAAGCTTCAATGTTACTACGCTACGTACATTTTAGGAGCTATGGCAAATGCCAAAATTGGATGGTAAAAGAGCCAAAAAAAAAAACTCAAGTTTGCAATCTTCATGGGTAGGAAAATTGAAAAGTGATGGTTGCATTTTAGGAAGAAAGATTCTTCAAATTAATTGGCTGAGAAAAGAGCAAGCACAAAGGAAGAAATACAACAACAATAACATACACACAGAGTGATCAGGCTTGGAGAGTGTAGAATGTACGTAAACCTTTATATCTATACCTTAGAGGTACATAGGTTGTTTTCGATAGACTTTCAACTCAAGGAAACATAGTCTAAAGCAGTCCAGTGAGAAGAAATACATGCATTACCAACCAATAGCTAGCATCATATTCGATGTAATCTCACAAAGACTAATCATGTATAAATACTAAATTTTCCAATAACCCAAATCTTCATCAAATTTAATAGTATCGTAAATCCATAATATCCAACTCTGCCTAAACTCACCCGAATGTATATCTGTATTGTCATTTGATTAACTAAAACAAACAACGCTAACTTGCACATGATATGTTCTATAGCCTAATAATCGACACCTCTCCAAGTGTCAAGATCCAGAAATTGTCTCAACTATCCTTATTTGCATATATATTCCATATGATAAGTTATTGAATAAGATGTGGAAAATCTAGTTTGTTCCATATTTTTCTTGCTATTAATCACTATCACTCTGGCTAGCTATCATACTAATTTAATTTCTTCCTCATTTTTGTTGGTCTTCTATATTGATCAAATCTACTAATAACAAGCTATATATTGTTCTTAACATGGGGTCCCCTCTTGTCTCACTACAAATATTTCTATGAACGTATAGTCTCTATCCACAACGCTATCAATTAATTAGTTTTAACCTAAGTGTGACAAACAAAATATTTATTATGTGTTTGATGACTAGTTGTGGATGACATGATAAAATTAAAAGTCTATCACCATATAAGTGTATATATCTTAATTCTTGAAGACTAATGTATGGATGATCTTTTTTTCATAGTACTATCATTTAATTTGTAAACGAAGACTTGACTTCCATCTTGGTATATATAATGTTTTTCTTTCATCATTAACTTATCTTACTAATTCTAAAGACTGTTTACTCTTCTTATTATTATATTAAATGAAAGGAAGTTTCTTGGTTTTTTTCTCGTAAGAATCTTGGGTACAAGTCTCTGTCATACAATTAATTACCGTGCATCTTGATCTATAAAAAAAAAAGTGACGTTTCAAAAATATATCTATGTGTTTCACATCTAAACAATTAAGAGGGTGAGCAGTGGCAGAGCCATCCTTCGGTGGAAAATTATATGATTTATACATGGTTAAAATAATTTTTTAGGTATATATAGTAGATGTCGAACCCCTTTCGGCTATTTCATGTATCTATTTTTTTATATTTTGAACCCCTTATTGAAAATTCTGACTCCGCCACTGAGTGTGAGAAACACATCTAACTATTACTCAAGTAATATGTGATGGTACATGAAAAAGAATTCCGACATGACAAAAAGTTAATCAAAATGAAAAACAAATCAAATTAGCCAATAAAAGAATAAAATGAAGAAGAATGTTGATAAACATAGAAGTAGAAGCAGAAGGAGTGAGGTTGAAAAAAATATGCAATAAAGGTGAAAGAAATGAAGAAAAATAATTGAGAAATGATGGAAGAAGAAGGGGAAAGTTTAGAATTTTAAAAATCCTGAATTTTGTTTTTTTTATTTAAAAACATAGACAAATTCAAAAGCAAACACACCTAAGTGTGCGTGTACACACATTTGATTGACTCAATATTAAGGTATGTTTTTCAAATTTCTAATAGTTAAGATATGAAATTAAAAAATAATAATAATTTATCTCAACTTAGAATATATTAGTAGGATTTTTATTTTTTGTCTCTGTATTTGGATTCTGAACAATATTGTCTACAAATATTCTTCTAGTATACTAGCATAATCACCGATTACTATTAAATGTTTCAAATTGAGTTTAACATTTCAACAAATTTATTAACCCCCACCCACCCCCCACCCCCGCCCCCCAAAAAAAAAAAAATCTCACTTCCTATCTCCGCACAATTAGGAAAACTTCACGTTGTTTCTCATTCATACTTTAGTTTTTATTTAATTGACAATGACAAAATGGTCCACCAACTGTTCATATAATCAATAATTGCTCCTTTATTTTATTTTTTCCTAACTTTTTTTGGCTTTTAAATTATTTTTGGTCACTCACAAGCCTTTACAAGACTTCCCATGTCAATGTTTTCAATTCTATAGAATAAGTATGGAAAAGGGAATGGATATAGTCATGATCTTTTTCTTAATCTTACGGAGCCAGAATTTTTATTAAGGGTGTTCAATGCCTGAAGAAATAGACACACGAATTAGCTGAAGGGTATTTATAAAAAAATATTTTAATCGTATATAAATAATATAATTTCTCATCGAATAAGGTTCAAATGAACCCCCTTAACTACGAGGTGGCTCCGCCTCGGCTAATACATAAACTACTTTCTCTTCCTTCATTTTTTTTCTCGTTTATAATTATGATTTCTTGATAATGCAACTCAGGTAGTTGAGCTGGTCCTTGTTACAGGACATGTGCTTAGGCCCCATATAGACAAATAGATTATTCTCAGCTCTACCCTCTTTTTTAACCATTTTTTTATACATGTTGATCGAGTAATTCAATAATTTTAAATCAAATCATATGATCTATTATCGAGAAATTCTCTAAATATGCATGTATTAAATTAATTTTAGAATAAGACACATCAAAATAGCTAGGATTCTTTACCACGAAGATTCTAGATGTTTACGTATTCTAGCTAGATGATTAACAACTTATAATATTATTATTTTACCATTCATAACATGACGAGATGGCCATTATGAACTCTTGTCTTAGACTAATCAAGATGAGTCCTAATCATAGTGTTTTAGCCTTTAATCTGGGATTAAATCTTATTATAAGTAGTACTCCTAGTAAGATTTCTTGGTAATGATTAAACTTGCTATTGTCACCAAATATAGCATTCTTTAAGAAAATTAATAGATTTAGTAGGGAATAATTAAGGAAACACTCAATTGGTCAACTGTTGTCAGAATGTTTAATAAATTTAAACCATGAAATTAAATTGCGATTTTATTGTGGCATTGTTTGATACTCCATTCACCTACAACGAAATCACAGAGAAAATATCACGTTATTGCTAATTACATATTTACACAAATAATTACAAATAAGTAAATATTTTTATATTTCCCCAGTTAGGACCTTAAACTATCCCATCTATCACATCTTGATGAATATAATTATTCAATATCAAACAAAATTAATTATAAAAATTAAATAATAAGTAATTATGAATGTAATAATTTAAGTAAACCCCACCACCACCGCCACCCTATCCCTATAGCTTTTTTATCCTTGCTATAAAATGGAACTACATGCATTATTGGGTAAGAATATTTATTTTAATTCATCATTCTATAGACAATAATAGCGTGGTAAACAGCAATGTGAGTGTCTCTTTCTTTAAGTTTCACTCCTCAATTCCCATTTTTTTTAAATGTTTGACTATAACTGGTACATACCCCACTATATTTTGAACTTTTGCCAAAAAAATTACTCCATCAGTTAATTTGAATTCGCATCGAAATCTTACTTTCTATTTTGACTAGGACTGTTAGTCTTCTACTTGTTGTATTTCCTAAAATTTAGGTTTAGTGGCCGACAATTATTTCATTCCATTGCATATTCACTTCTTTATTTAGGCTTCTCTAGGAATTACCTAATCTTTAAGTGCAGTTTTTTTCCACATTTTCTGTCGCTTCAAGTGATGAGATAGCAGTGATTATTCAAGCCAAATCATGCATTTATTATGAAACATGAAACTACTACATACTTTACTATAATATATACATATTTTACCTTTAATTTAAAAATATTACTTATAATATCACTTTTTAATAATTATATCATATATTTTTAAAAGTTAAATTAGATACACAATCCCCTTAAATATGATATTTAATAATTATCTTAAAATTGTATCTCCAATGGGACTTTAACAATTCACATCACTTCCTCTCTCTTCACACCATCAGCCTACTCCCCCACGTTATTCATTGTTTCACACTACACACATATCTATCA